CTCTGTAGTTAGCCAAAGTCCCTACCACCCTGAGCTGACCCCTGGCCTCTGTAGCATGTGAATTTGCAACCCTTTCCCTATGGCTCACATGCATGGCCAGTTTTCCAGAACCCAGATGGCTCCAGCCCCTCCCCTCCCTGGTCAGTGAATGTGACTCATCAGAGCTCCCCTCCCACCCCCAGCAGACAGGAGGCCAGCCCCAAAGACAACACCCCTGGAGTGGAACAGTCCACTTCCCTCATCATGCGTGCAATAAATGGGGCCCAAGGTCACATTAGCTTTTTGGCAAAACCTTCACCCTGGTGACTCACTGAACTTCCTATCAACTGAAAACCCCCACTTCTTGGCACAGGCACAGTCAACTTGGCACTTGGCACAGTCAACTAAAAATAACAGTATCAACACCTGAGAAAAAGAAAATAAAAATAGTATCACAATGTCTTCTATGAGCTTAAAGTTTCACAAAGTTCTTTTATAAGTATTACTGTCCTTCAATCCTCACAGCAAATCTTTTTGTTTTGTTTTGTTTTGTTTATTGAGACAGAGTCTCAAGCTGTCACCTTGGATAAAGTCCTGTGGCATCACAGCTCACAGCAACCTCAAACTCTTGGGCTTAAGCAATTCTCTTGCCTCGGCCTTCCAAGTAGCTGGAACTACAAGCGTCTACCACAATGCCCAGCTATTTTCCTTGGTTCAGGCCGGGTTCGAACCCACCAGCCTTGGTGTATGTGGCTGGCACCCTACCCACTGAGCTACAGGCACCACCCCTCACAACAAATCTTTTTTTTTTTTTGTAGAGACAGAGTCTCACTTTATCACCCTCTGTAGAGTGCTGTGGCGTCACACAGCTCACAGCAACCTCCAACCCCTGGGCTTAGGCTATTCTCTTGCCTCAACCTCCCAAGTAGCTGGGACTATAGGCACCTGGCTATTTTTTATTGCAGTTTGGCCAGGCTGGTTTGAACCCACCACCCTTGGTACATAGGTCTGATGCCCTACTCACTGAGCCACAGGCGCCGCCCCACAACAAATCTTTATAGCAAATATTTTTGCCCCCACTCTCTCTTAAGCCTAAAAGTGAAGGCCTTAACCCAGCAAGAGGAGAGTTAACAGGCCGGAGTCTTAGAAAGCCTGCCATAATTAAACTAAGGAACAGAGTGGGTAAGGGTCAAGACTGTGATATTAAATGGGGCTGTATTTAATCTTTTTATTTGTTTAGAGTCTCACTTTGTTGCCCCCAGTAGAGTGCTGTACTGTCATAGCTCACAGCAACTTCAGACTATTGGGCTCAAGCAACTCTCTTGCCTCAGCCTCCTGAGTAGCTGGGACTGACTACAGGTGCAAAAAAAAGTGCCACAAGGTGCCACAATGCCTGGCTAATTTTTAGAGACGGGATATTGCTCTAGTTCAGGCTGATCTCCAACTCGTGAGCTCAGGCAGTCTGCCCACCTCAGCCTCCTAGGTTGCTGGGATTACAGGCGTGAGCCTCTGCATCCAGCCTCTTGGATTTAATCTTGACTTAACATGGGACCTTGGGCAAATGACTTAGTCTCATGTTTTCCCATGGCTAAACTCATTTTTGTTTTTTGTTTGTTTTTTTTGTTTTTGGTGATAAGGATGGGATATGACCGTGGCTAAACTCTCAGTCCGTTTTCCCATCTGTGAAATTGAGATAATAATAGTACCTATCTCCTAGGGCTGTTGTGAGGATTTGGAAAGACACTGTGTATAAGGGTTTAGTGCCCAGTATGTAGCAAATACTCAGTGATAATCTCAATAAAGTGAAGAGGAACACAGGTATAGGCAGGGACCAGTGTGTGTGGGTGATGCCTGCTTTCCGTAAGAGCTCTCTGAGGAGGCACCCTCCTGCCCCCAGGGTTTAACAGCCCTCATGCAGCTGCAATCTCTTGTCATAAATAAATGACTGCTGGATTAAAGAGGGACAAGTATCCAGCTGCTATTCTCACAGCTCAGGAGCTGAAACAGGAGAGTGGGTATGAGAGGAGGAGGGAGAGGGCCAGATGCAGGGAGGAGAAAGCAGCTGAGAGCACTTGTCAAAGTATGATACCAAGGGACGAAGACGTGTGTACCACATGTGCACAGGGTGCTTGGCCTTCCTCACAAAAGTCTGATAGCTTGGTGGTGTTCTTGTTTACCGACAGAGAAACTAAAGTTCTGAATAGTTAAAAGACTTTGAAAGATCACACAGCTAGATCACAAAACCAGCATTGAACCCAGCTCCAAAGCCCATGGAGGCTTGATTCTGTACACTTAGTGAGAAGACAGGCTCTAAGCCAGGGAGAGACCTGCCCAAGGTCAGCTCCTAACTTAACTCAGTGACAGGGTCAGGATAAGACTCCAGAGTCCCTCCAGTCTTTGGTCTCCCTGGGCTTCACCCTCTCCTGCACTGTGGAACACAGTCACACTCATGCTCACTCATACACTACACGCACACACACACATACGTTGAGGGTGTAAAGAAACTGGAGGCAGGCTCGGAGCCTGTGGCTCAAGTGGCTAAGGTGCCAGCCACATATACCTAAGGTGGTGGGTTCAAATCCAACCTGGGTCTGCCAAACAACAATGATGGCTGCATAGCCGGGCATTGTGGTGGGCACCTGTGGTCCCAGCTGCTTGGGAGGCAGAGGCAGGAGACTCGCTTGAACCCAGGAGTTGGAGGTTGCTGTGAGCTGTGATGCCATGGTACTCTGCCTATGGGGACAGCTTGAGGCTCTGTCTCAAAAAAAAAAAAAAAGAAAAAAGAAACTGGAGGCAGTTGGATATCTCCCTCTCACACACGCATGCATGCATGCATGTGCTGCCTGTGTGCACACTCAGCCTCTCACCTTGCTTCCTCTGACATGTGCCTGAGCACCTTTGCTTCCCTTCCCAGAGGCTGTCCCTTGTCCTGAATCTGGGTCCTCCATAAGATGCAATGAGCATGCTACAGGTACTGTTATGGGCAGAGGCTTGCTGGGGTTAGTGGCTGCGCTGAAGCAGATGGAAAGAGAGGGAGATTCCAAGAAACTTCACATCCCACTTACAATCTGGTTTCTGTCCTGATCACACAATAAAGAAGAGCCTTTGTCAAAATTAGCAGTGACCTCCATGTCGCCAAACCCTATGGTGCCTTGTCATGCTCACCTGGTTTGTCCTGTCTGCAGCTTCCTACACTACTGACTCCTCTCTCCTGGCTGAACCACTGCCTCCCTTCTGGTTCTCCTCCTACCTCTCTGGTCATTTCCCTCCCAGGCTCCTTTGTCTGGACCTCTTCATTCCTCAGGGCTCTGTCCTCAACCTATTTTTTTCTCTTTTTTACATTTTTTTTTCCAGCTATAGCGTGCTCAGATTTTTTCTCTTTCTATATGCTGTCTCTGGACAATTTTGGTAACCGCAACTCTTATTCTGACAAACTTCATACATTCTGACCCAAGCCTCTCTCTTGAGCACTAGATCTCTGTATTTAAGTATTTCCTGGATTTCTCCATGGGCATCTCACTTGTTCAGATCCAAACCAAACTCACCTCTCATCCTGTGCTGGTCTGGCTGCAAAATATCCCATCAGCACTTTCCCCACATCTGCTGCTTGCAAAGTGCACTTGATCCCACCTTCTGCAGCTCTCTCAAACATGAGCTTTCTTCTCTATCCCCTGACCAATTGTCACCCTCTTTCTATCTTTGACCATTACAGTAGCCTTTAATGGACTCTCCTCCTCTACTGGACTCCCCTCCTCTGTTGAACTCCCCTCCTCTATTGGACTCCCTTCCTCTATGGGACTCCTCTCCTCTACTGGGCTCCCTCCTCTACTGGACTCCCCTCTTGCACTGGACTCTCCTCCTCTACTGGGCTCCCCTCCTCTACTGGGCTCCCTATTGGGCTCCCTCCTCTACTGGGCTCCCCTCCTCTACTGGGCTCCCTATTGGGCTCCCTCCTCTACTGGGCTCCCCTCCTCTACTGGACTCCCCTCCTCTACTGGGCTCCCTCCTCTACTGGGCTTCCCTCCTCCACTGGGCTCACCTCCTCCACTGGGTTCCCCTCCTCTACTGGGCTCCCTCCTCCACTGGGCTCACCTCCTCCACTGGGCTCCCCTCCTCTACTGGGCTCCCTCCTCTACTGGGCTCCCTCCTCTACTGGACTCCCCTCCTCTACTGGGCTCCCTCCTCTACTGAGCTCCCTCCTCCACTGGGCTCCCTGCTCTACTGGGCTCCCTCCTCCACTGGACTCCCCTCCTCTACTGGGCTCCCTCCTCTACTGGGTTCCCTCCTCTACTGGGCTCCCCTCCTCCACTGGGCTCCCTCCTCTACTGGGCTCCTCTCCTCTATTGGGCTCCCCCCTCTACTGGGCTCCCTCCTCTACTGGGCTCCTCTCCTCTACTGGGCTCCCTCCTCTACTGGGCTCCCTCCTCTACTGGACCCCCCTCCTCTACTGGGCTCCCTCCTCTACTGGGCTCCCTCCTCTACTGGGCTCCTCTCCTCCACTGGGCTCCCCTCCTCTACTCAGCTCCCCTCCTCTACTCGGCTCCCTCCTCTAATATATACCCCTCCTTTAATGGGCTCCCCTCCTTCCAGTCTTGCCTGTCCTGCTTGGGCCTCACACTACATCCTAAATTACCTCCAAAAATCCAAACCTGATCATATCATTCCCCTGGGGGATAACCGTCAATGCCTCCCCATTTCCCTCAGGACTAATTCTCAAAGTCTGAAGTTCCAGATTCTCTTCAGTCTCTTTACCCTTTGTTTTCCTGGTCTCTGCTTCCAGCCATGCCCTCAGATACCCTAGCCCCTGGTTTCATTCTGCTCCCACATATTGTGAGCTCCTTCTGTCCCAAAAAGACTTGGTGAGAAAGGCCCTTCTCCTTACATTTCTCTGCCTTTTCCCCAGACTCCCAGCTTAGAGGCCAGGAAATGGACGGTGTGACCCACAGGGTAAGCAGTGAGAAGAGGATCATCGGGATGTCTTTGCTGTGCTCCTCCCACCCCCATCCCACCCACCCACTCACCATCATGACATACGTGCTCAAGAACTCTGCCAGGAACTCCCGCACCCACTTCTTCCTCAGTGCTTTTTTTATCTTCCTTGCCGCTGAACTGGATACCATCTTGGAACTTCGGGTGGGCCTGAAGCAGCAGCCCAAACCCATGAACAGAAAGGAGACTCAAGTCCACCTGCTGCCCATTCGCCCTGAACTCATGGCTGAGTTAATGGGTAGCCCAGTGCCTCACTAACCACACCTCTTGTCCAGGGCAACTGGGACAACTAAGATGGGAGACACCTGAGAGCCATAGGGATACAGAGAAGAACTGGGGTAGATGGTCAGGCCATGCCTCTTACTTTCTTCTAGTCAAGATTGGACCTGTGGGAAGGATGCACCAATGAATTACCCTTCCCATGCCTCTCAAGAGCGAGGGATGGGGAGCTGAAAGTGCAATCTATGCTGCTGAGAAGCCCTTGGGAAAAAGCAGGATGGGAGAAAGCAGGCTAGAAAGTGTTGTCTATATGTCTGTCTGCCTATCTGCAGGAGCCAGAGCTTTGAGGTCGCAGGTCCGGACCTGGCAGCAGTGAGGCACTCTGCAGACAGTATGGTGTGTGGCAGAGTCTGCTGCTGGGCTCTGTAAATACCAGAGTGTTGAAACATGCACCGTGTTCTGCCAGACCTGCAGGGTCAGCAAAATGCACCAGGATCTGCAACCAGGTCAAGATAGATGGTTTTGGCTCGGTGCCTGTAGCTCAAGCAGCTAAGGTGCCAGCCACATACACCTGAGCTGGCACGTTCAAATCCAGCCTGGGCCCGCCAAACAACAATGATGGCTGCAACCAAAAAATAGCCAGGC